CCTCAATTTGTTTCTTGGATATTTGCCATTATATCAAATACCTTTTAAAAGAACTTTGGCAAGCCTAACCGGAAGTTTTTTTTTTATCTTACTAATGTACATATATATATATATCGTTACCTAAAGGTGAAAAGTTGCTAAGTAAGTCCATGCAATGCTAAGTCCATTTTTTGAAATTGCTCAGGAGAGACAAAAAGTCGATGTAGTATCGCATAATCTGTCATTCAGCATCAAAAGCTAAATTTTGTAAAAAAGTGGACTTGGAACCTTTTCACGTTTAGGTAGCGGTATGTACTTCATTCAATATATGTATGCAAATGAGGCGGCCGCTGTGGTGTAGTGGTAAGCAGTGCGCGCTTCCACTCCGCAACGCCTGGGTTCAAACCCTGGTCAAAGCAACATCGCAAAAAATATAGAAAAAAGGTTTTTTCTTAACAGCGGTCGTCCCTCGGCAGGCAATGGCAAACCTCCGAGTGTATTTTTGCCATGAAAAACAGTTTCTCATATAAATACAATCGCCGTTCGGAGTCGGCGTAAAACTGTAGGTCCCTCCGCTCTGTGTGACAACATCAAGGCAAACGCCACAAATCGCTTTCGCCTCCGGTTGAAGGGAGAGTTTTTGATAAAGAGTGCGCTTGGAGATTAAGAGAGTTTATTATGTCATGGTTGTGTTTATTTTGAGTACCTGCGTTTAGAAATTGAGAATGGATTTTTGATGTTGTTTCTTGAAATGGTCTATGTGGGACTGGTGTTAATTGACTGGAGTCAGTGATTTTATTGTTACTTGTTGTTTCGTTTATTCTCTTTTGTCTTATTTTAATAGGTTCTTCAAGCGTTTCAGTGGGGGAGGGGTAGGCTGAAATATTAGTTTCGTTTGCAGTTTTAATAGCTTCGCTATACGAACAACTGTTGGTGGTTTTTATTTTTATAATATCTTGTTTTTTTTTTTGAATGTGGGACAGTTTTTGTTGCTTGAACGGTGTTGTTGGTTGCAGTTGATGCACTGAACTTTGTCGCATGGTGTAGGATCGTGTATGCTGAGTGAACAAACGTCACATTTTGCTTCTGTACGGCAATATTTCTTTGTGTGTCCTAATCTAAACCAATTTTTGCATTGAAGTTGCGCTGGAAAATAAGTTTCGACTTTAAAGTTTAAAAAACCCAACTTTCAGCTAAATGAAATAATATGAAGAAGGTTAATTGAAATAATATGAAGTGATGAGTTTATAACTTTGCCGTCTACGAATTTGGTGATTTTCTTGCAGTCAACTACCTGTTGGTCTTTTAAACCCTCTAGTATCTCTTTTTCGCTTAATTCTTTTAGTGGTGGTGCAAATATTACACCTTTGATGGTGTTAAGAGTCGGATGCAAAGTAGAACTAATTTCGCAAATATTGGAGAGTTGTGTCGCGCGTAAAAATGTATTTGCTTGAGCTTCGTTGTATGTCAAATTCAAGAGGTCGCCTTCAAGAGTAAATGTAATCTTTTTTGGTTGCTCGGTGCTAATGCTATCCAGCTCTTTAGAAACGAGAAAAATGTTTAGAATATTCAGGGGCTTGGCGGTGTTTTTGTTTTTAATCACAATGAATTTCGGGCATCCCGCTTTAGTGAGCTTGTCAAAAGAAACAATTTGTGGGGAATCTGCCTTATCCCTTAAATGCGTATTGTATCTTTAAAGATACAACCAATTATTTTGTTATCGTAGTGCTATAAGGGAAGAAAATCATTTCATTTTAATGAAAAACTACTTATAATATTAGATTTTTTAATTTGAGCTGATTTTTTAATTTAAAATATTTTAGTATTAAACAAAATCAGATGTCTAAATCAAAAAAGACGAAATTCAAAGTTTTTAAGCAACGCACATATTCATGTAACGCTCCGCCGCTATATGCTAACATCTCGGATTTCAAAAAAAATATCACGGGTCCGGAAAATTTGTATTTTAACGTTATTTAATAATTTCATTCCTAACCGCACTCATAATTACGCGCACGAGTATAATTTGCGGTTGTATCTTTAAAGACACACTGCGCACTCTTCCCTTAACCGTATGCCTTTGGAGGCGTTGAGTTTGAATTTCAATTTGCTTGCTTTCTGCAAAACGACTATGTAAATTACACTATGTAACAAAGTTTTTGTCCCTGGATTGTAATTGTTATTTCCTAGTCAGTTAGGTCCCAAAAGTATAGAAAACAGCTATTGTCGCAAGATAACTTTGCTTTTGTGACCAGCCGGTATCTTCGTTGGACCACAAATAAAGAAAATCTTCGAGTCTGAGGAATTCCCCAAGAAGCTCACTCGTGTTGAGAAAGCTGCTTGGATGAGTTTTATGTCAGTGGTACAGGGATTCCTAGGCAATCACAAAGCCGCAAACTACGTGGAGCTGGTCGAAAGTCTGGTGGAGAACTACGGCAAAATGGGCTGCAGGATGTCTCTCAAACTCCATATTCTGGATGCACATCTTGACAAATTCAAGGAGAACATGGGAGCATATTCAGAGGAGCAAGGCGAGCGCTTCCATCAGGATATAATGGAATTTGAGCGGCGATACCAAGGACAATACAATGAGAACATGATGGGAGATTACATTTGGGGATTGATTAGAGAAAGTGACTCGCAGTTTAAACGCAAATGTCGAAAAACCACCCGCTTCTGATTTACTTTTATGTTTTTGGTTTTCTGAAGTTTTAATAAAATTTAGTTTTGATTTATATGTGCTGTTCTGTATGATTTTCTCTGTAGTGAAAGACTCAAACACGTTTTTCTCATAATTTTAGCATATTTTAATGGATCACATTGTCCTGGTCACAAAAGCAAAGTTTCCGAGGAATATTAGGTGGTTTCCATACTTTTAAGGCATAACAGACTAGGAAATAACAATTACATCCCAAGGACTGAGAAATTTTTTTTTTTTGTTACTTAGTGTTATCATTCACTCCGAGGCCGTTGAACAAAGAAGTTCTCCTTTTCTCTTTTTTTAATTAAATTTAGTTAAATTAAATTAAAATAAATAAAATTTTTGTTTGAAAAATTATATTTTTATTGATTATGGACGAATTTATTCGTGTGGGTGGGGTCAAAATGACTAACGATGAAGTATGCGAATTGCTTTCCAGTAGCATGGACTTTCCATATGACAGTGTTGACGAAGAGGAGGAGGATGTTTCGGAAAGTTGTTCCACTCAAGTAGGGAATGGTAATAAAAATATTCTTAATGAAAAAAATGAAGTTGAAGTGCAGATGGTTCTTGAAGATGCTGAGAAAGAAATAGACGTTGACCTGGAAGCTTCAAATCACGATTCATTTATTAGAATGATAACGGAAGATAATAATGAAATCAATTTGAACGAAGTAAATGATAGCGATGACCAGGTTTGGGAATTATTCCCTTCACAGTTTAAAAACGTTTCTGTAAATCCAAAATCATCTGAATTCGAAAGGGTTTTGTGGAAAAAAGGAAATTTACAGTTTAATGAGCAGCAGGTTAAATTTAGAGGCGACAGCAGCCTTCCTGATGAGGTAACAGCTTTGGATACACCATATAAAGTATGGTGTTATTTATTTCCACAATCTTTAGAGGAACACATTGTTCAAGAAACGCTAAAATATGCTGGGCTGGATGAAAGCTTCCCTTTTGATGTATTTGACTTACGAAAATTCATTGGCATTCTTTTTTACATGTCATATTACCATCTTCCGAATTCTCGAGATTATTGGTCCAGCAACGACGACAGGTCTGCTTCTGTCATTAAAAGGCAGATGCCAATGAAAAGGTTTGAGAAAATACGAGAAGTACTTCATTTCAATGATAAAAGTAAGCAGCCTGCACGTAACGATCCGCTTCATGATAGGCTATATCTCATTCGACCCGTAATTGATACACTTATCAAAACTTTCGGAAGTATACCCACAGAACAGCGATTGTGCGTAGATGAACAAATGTGTTCTACTAAAATTGGTAGCTTTATGAAACAATATTTGCCTAACAAACCCAAAAAATGGGGATTTAAATTTTTTGTTTTATGCGATACTACTGGTTATGCGTACAAGTATGATTTATATACCGGATTATCAGAAAAGCCTCTCGAAGGAGAACCAGATTTACAACCTTCTGCAAACATAGTCGTTGGATTAATGCGCGAAGTGCCGCGTTTTCAAAATCACATTGTTTATTTTGATAATTACTATACCACTCTTCCGCTCCTAGTATATTTGAGAACACAGGGTATCCTTTCCGTTGGAACTATTCGGCGCAACCGAATTAAAAACTGTAAGCTTCCTGAGGAGAAAATTATGCTAAAGTTTGAGCGAAGCACCAGTAAGGAATTTGTTTCCAATATATGTGGCATCGATGTAACGTCCATATCGTGGAAAGATAACCGTGTTGTAAATATGGTTTCTACATACATTGGAAGGAAGCCTCTGATTAATTCATTCCGAAGCACACTAGATCCTTGCACTGTCAAAAGATATGACAAAAAGGAAAAAGCTACTAAAACTATTCCATGCCCGCAAATTGTTAAGGACTATAATCAACACATGGGTGGAGTAGATCTCATGGACAGTTTTATGAGTCGTCACAAAATTACTTTAAAAAGTCGAAAGTGGACAAATCGAGTTTTTTATCATCTTTTGGATATGACTTGCATTAACGCATGGTTGTTATATAAAAGAATAAATAGAGACCGCCCTGATGCGAAGCATTTAAGACTTATTGATTTTAAGCTGGAAGTTGCTGATTCATTGTTTTTATACAAAACCAAGAAAGGATCAATGCGTGGGCGACCTAGTTTGGAATCGCTTATTAAGGAGAAACGATTCAAGCCCAATTCCCATATAGCACCTCCCAAGGATATCAGATTAGACAAAACCGATCACTGGACAACGGTGGACACAAAAGGACGATACAAGATGCCAAATTGTGCAGGACAGACAAGAATGTATTGCAGTAAGTGTAAAATTAATTTATGTTTAACAGCTGATAAAAATTGTTTTTATAAGTACCATAATTCTGAATAATTCTATGTACTTTCACTTTATATATTACTTATTGATGAAAATGAATTCGAAATATTATTAGTTTCTTAAACATATGTATAGGTTTATTTAAATATGAATTATTTGTTGGTGTACTGATGTATCCATGCCAGTTTTTCAAATAAAAGCTACTTTCTTTTCACAATTAAAGTAGTTTTGTTTCGATTTACCTATGAAAAGCAAGAGACAGGTGAGTGCGCACTGTATCTTTAAAGCTACAACCACTTTTCCTTGAGTTACATCGAAAACAAAATAAGTATTTTGAAAAAAAATAAACGCAGTTATATTTTTAATGTCGTTTTACACGTCATGTATTTTTTTCAACACAATCGAAGACCTTGCGCATTTAAGGGTTATTTTGGATGTTCCATCTGGATCCAGTAATGCATAATAGTTGCCTCCTGAGGAGGAGGGCATAATGGTGTAGCACTTACGTATCAATACCTTATAATTGATCCTAACAGGCCTATTCTGCGTTGGTAACAAAAATTTTGTTACCGGTTAGTAAAGTTACTGTCAATTTTTAAACCCTTTTCGTATTCTCCACACTCTTGTAACCAGTAAATTTTGTTACCATCTCATGAGCAGGTAACAAAATATTGCCCCGTGAAATATGCAACACCAGAATTTCAACAAAACTCCATAGCTGAATTGCTGAATAAATTAAAACGTCACCAAGGTAAATAGAATTGCGGTTGCAAGAAGTGGTGACAATTGTTGGTAACAAAATGAGCTTGTTACAAAATGTTCGGTTACAAGCAGAATAGGCCTGTTAGTAACAATAACAAAATGTCACGCAACTACAGAAACACGTTCAGCTAGTTGTGCCGAGAAGAAAGATTTGAGAGAAATATTAACACGACTGTTCACTATGAGAGTAAGCTGTCAACTCCGTAAAACTGTAGGTCCCTCCGCTTTGTGTGACAACATCAGGGCGCACGCCACAAGTCGGAGGAGAAGCTCGGCCAAACACTAACATATGTGTAAGCGCCAATCTATTATTATTATTATTATATGTAGATATATATATTTATAACACAAATAGAACCATATTTGTCTCAGAAAATATACATCGAAATAAACCATGTAAGATTTATATGCATATGGGTATTGGGACAGAGGCAAAAGCAACATTTTTTGGTTTGCGGATCTTCCACTGTATCACTCTTGCACGAACGTAGCAATGTTTTGCTCAATATGAAACAAAAAACAGGGACGAAAAGGAATAAATGGAACATAGCAATGCTCAAATCAAAATAAAGCCTACTGCGCTGCAGCGATGTTGTTGTTGATAGTGTGTAGGAATGTATCAGGGTTGCCGTTTTGGGCTTTTCCTACCAAAATTGGTAGGTTTTTTCTCGTTGGTAGGATGGTAGGACGCTTAAGATTTTGGCAGGTTTCTTTACTCATAAAGCAGAAAACATCTCCGGCTTGGTGTAACGTGTCACTTTGTCAGCACTGTGAGTAGGCTTGCCAAATTTTGACAATATCCGTTTGACCTCAATTTGTTTCTTGGATATTTGCCATTATATCAAATACCTTTTAAAAGAACTTTGGCAAGCCTAACCGGAAGTTTTTTTTTTATCTTACTAATGTACATATATATATATATCGTTACCTAAAGGTGAAAAGTTGCTAAGTAAGTCCATGCAATGCTAAGTCCATTTTTTGAAATTGCTCAGGAGAGACAAAAAGTCGATGTAGTATCGCATAATCTGTCATTCAGCATCAAAAGCTAAATTTTGTAAAAAAGTGGACTTGGAACCTTTTCACGTTTAGGTAGCGGTATGTACTTCATTCAATATATGTATGCAAATGAGGCGGCCGCTGTGGTGTAGTGGTAAGCAGTGCGCGCTTCCACTCCGCAACGCCTGGGTTCAAACCCTGGTCAAAGCAACATCGCAAAAAATATAGAAAAAAGGTTTTTTCTTAACAGCGGTCGTCCCTCGGCAGGCAATGGCAAACCTCCGAGTGTATTTTTGCCATGAAAAACAGTTTCTCATATAAATACAATCGCCGTTCGGAGTCGGCGTAAAACTGTAGGTCCCTCCGCTCTGTGTGACAACATCAAGGCAAACGCCACAAATCGCTTTCGCCTCCGGTTGAAGGGAGAGTTTTTGATAAAGAGTGCGCTTGGAGATTAAGAGAGTTTATTATGTCATGGTTGTGTTTATTTTGAGTACCTGCGTTTAGAAATTGAGAATGGATTTTTGATGTTGTT